CTTTTGGTTTATTCCTGGATTTATTCTTATTTCACTTTATTATCGCTTGATAAGGTCCTTGGTAAGGTTTGTACAGAGGAGGTTTGCCATTCCCTTCCCCTGAGGCTGAGAGCATGTGACTTGCCCAAGATCACTCAGAGAGTTTCATGGCCAAGCTGGGAATCGAACCCTGGTCTCCAGAGTTGTAGTCCAACACTCAAGCCACTATGCCATGCTAGGTTTATAAGTACTTTATATGCCATCCACTTGAAAATGATTTCAAACTTTTCTCATGAAGGCAAAAGGTGCATTCATTTCACAGAGAATGACCTGTTCTGTAACTGTTTAGGTTCCTAACTTCATCTTTTTTGTTTTCTAAGAAACAAATGACACCACTTATATAAACAGTGATTATCTTCTAGTTCAAAAGTACAAACATCCAGGTTCAATCTTTTATCCATTTTTTTAATTCATTTTATTTGCCTCTGATGTTTCTGCTTTAGTCCAGCATAAATGTGTGCAGCTATAATTTACTGAAGAATCAAACATATTATTCTTCAGATTTTTACTCTGTGGTTTAAATTTGTTGAATTTTGGAATTCAGATCTGAATACAAACTATACCATCATTTTCAACATCTCATTTTTTTAACTAATGTTGTGCAAGTGAGTAAAGATGTACACTTCTTTAAACAAAGGCATGCTTACATTGGGCTTAAAACAGGAAGTGATGGGAGCTCTGTTTAATTGCTTTTGAAGAAAAAAGTTTTCAGGATGTGGATATTCTTTCTAAGGGGAAATGTTTCCCCTTCACATGAATGTCTAGTTGTAACTGTAAGGGGTGGTCTTATCTCCGTTACTAAGCCAAAGAACCAGCATTGTCCGAGGACTACTCCAGTGGTTATGTGGCCAGCATGACTGCACTGAACGCTGTTATCTCCCCACCAAAGTGGTACCAGCTTATCTACTTGCATTTGCATGCTTTTGAACTGCTAGGTTTGCAGAAGCTGAAACTAGTACAGGGGTTCATTCCATCATGTGTCACTTGGGCCTCGAACTGGCAACCTTCTAACTTTATGATCTTCAGAATTGGCATCTTAACCACTAAGCCACCATGTCCCTTTTCTTTATATTCTTTATACTAGATAAGTATACATTCCATTAATTATGTTGGATAAGTATACTCTACATTGGGCAAACAGACCAGAGGATCAATAAACATAAATTAAATATTAGGAATGGGAATCCACAAAAACCTGTTGCAAAATACTTTATTCCATCATTGACCTCAGGACAGTGGTCCTTGAACAAACAAAAAACTATAACACCACCACCACCACCCGAATCCCCATACAAATAGAATGATGTGAGAGAGTGAGGTAATGCCACTAGTATCACTAATATGAAGAGGCAAAGACACAAACTCTGGCCTTACTGAATCTCAGCTGGCTCTGCCCATCTGTCCTCCTTTCAAGAACATGACACAGTCAAGATGCAAGTTTGGCTACATTATGCCTTTTTCCATCAGGGGAGTGGAATGGGTGATGTAACCTGAAGGAACACTTCAGGCTGTATACCTCCAGCTGTGCTTCACCTGTCCCGTGTCCTCACATGTTTCTGTGAATGGCTGTCAAACTGCAGGTAGACCAAAAAAAATTCAGTAGACCCTTACTGAATGAATACTCAACTCTACAAAACCAGGATGTATATACCCTGATGGCTTATCACAAGTTATCTGTCACTTGTCATCATATTCAAACTGGATTTAGTGTGGTCAGAGGTGAAATATATTTGTTTTGTGTGTGTTATAAGAAAGTGATATTGTGGCTTTGATTCACATTTTTTAAAACTAGTTATTCCTATACATCAAACTGCAACAGACAACCAGACGGGCTGCTGTCTTAGGAACTTACTATAAGGAAGCTCATTCCTAATTGGTTATGCTAGAAACTATTATCAGACCTATACTTCTGCTTTAACCTCTGTTTCCACTTTAGTAAGACTCTCTAGACATTAAGTTTTGAAGGCTATGCATATATGCATGTTCTTTAGAGAAGCTTACGGAAACATAAATAGTCGTGGGACTGAGAGGAAACTCCTATTTTCTTCAGAATGTTTTGCATCTACTACTGCCAACAGTGCAAATGCATACTTAGTCCACACATTCCAAATAGAGGGTCACAAGTTATGATTAAGTACACACAATGCACTGTTTTTCATTTCTATAACAGTACTTACTGGGACTGGTAGCATTATGACATAAAGGCTTTGTATCTATGCCCTAGATGGGAAATGTGTGAGCGATTGTGGAGCTGGCTTCTACAGCGATGAGGTCACAGAGGAATGTGAACCATGCCACAGGACCTGTGCAACATGCAAAGGACTGAGCTACAATGACTGCACTAGCTGCAAAGGAATTTTACAGCTATTCCATGGAAAGTGTGTAAAACCCAAAATCAAACAAGTAAATGGGAAATTCTGGAATGGTATGTTGTCACAGTTCTTTGGAACTGTTTTCATTTTAATTTGCCAGCACCCATTATGACAGTAAGCAAACCACTCTTTTCCAAACCTTCCATATGGATTTTATTTATAGAAATATAGTGGAGGGTTTTTTTTTACATTTATACAAGACCATCAGCAATCATGCTGGTCCTGGACACCTCCTGATCAGGGAGTGCCACAAACATCAGACCTGGGCCTACATATGAGGTAGCTGGGTCTGCAAGCAGCACACCATTATACATGCAATATCCCAAAATTACACATATGGGGAACACTGTAAATTATTAAAATTAGTCAAAAACTCCAAGTTTTTCAAGTGCCAATAAGCCATTACAACACGAATCCTGAACTGACAATCTTCACAGTTCAGAACCTATTTGGCAGAAAGATTCCATATGGTTGGTTTCTGCAGAAAACATTATTTTCTGCACAGAAAATATTATTTCTACATAGAAGTATTTCTACACAGATTGTTTTATGCACAGAAAAGTTTCCCATTGAGAAAACATTGTAATTTAGGACTTATTTTATGCAAAATTAACATATGATATAAAATGTGAATTTTGCATAGAATAAGTCTGGTATCATAAATAGACTTCAAAAACAGCAGTTTTCAAATACTTTCTTGGTAAAATTGGCAAAAGTATTCATTGTTACCTTCAATAAGAAACTTAATGAAGAACTACATTTAAGTCATCAGTGTCATATACAGAGTCTCACTAGTTCAAATGGAATTATTGTATGCATAAGCTATACCTCCCCCTTTTTTTCCGGAATATGAATACTTGTAGTGAATCTTTAAGAGAATTACATTCCTGATCAAGACTATGGGCCTTTACAGACTGCCAGAAATAATGCAGCTGGAGACCACTTTAACTGTCCTGGCTCAGTGCTAGGGAGTCATGGGAACTGAATTTTTTTCTGGGACATTGAGCCTTCTCTGTCAGAGAGCTCTGGGGCCACAATAAACTACAGTTCCCATGATTTCTTATCACTGAGCTAGAACAGTTAAAGTGGCCTCAAGCTACATTATTTCTGGCAGTCTATAAAGGCCCTATGTAAAGACTGGTTTGCTAACCTACACATATATATAAAACAATTTGTGTGTGTGTGTGTGTGAGTGTGCGCGCGCGCACACACACACACACACACACAATTCCAGTTTAGGATTAATCCAGGAGTTCTCTATGAAAAATTGAAGCATGAAACTCACACCTGTCTGAGAGGCATATTCTCCCAATTAAGTGATGTAATACACTTCTTTTCATTGGTTGAGTTTAGCATAGATCAAAATGAGTTTAAATAGCAGCAAATTTCAAAATAGACTAAACAAATTGGAGAGTTTCAAGTGACATGTTGGGTTGTTAAAAATCAGCCTGACTGACCTTTGTAAATTCCAGATTTTACTTGTAATTAGCAGTACCTACAAAGCCAGGGGTAGGCAACCTGTCCCCTTGAAGGGCCGAGGGACTTCAGCTCCCAGAAGCCTCAGCCATGTTGGTCAATAGTCCCATGTTGGCCAATAGCTCCTGGGATTTTGGGAGCTGAAGTTCCTCGGCCCTTAAAGGGGAAAGGTTGCCTACCCCTGTACAAAGCTAAAATGTAATAATTAATATTAGCATGATTTTGATCAGTATTTAGCAAATATGTACAAACTAATCATAAATCTTATTACATAACAATTTTCCTTCTTTGAGGTCATTGTTCTGTTTCATAAAGATGAATAACTGTTCTCAATCCTATTTTACTGATAGAGAGATTGAAGCTGCACAACTTAAATGGCTTGAGCTCTGCATACCTGAAAGACCGCTTCTTGCCTTATGTCCCATCGCAATCCTTACAGCCAGCCGAGAACAATCTCTTAAGGGTACCATCCGTGCACCAAATCCGGATGGAAAGGGCACTTAAAGAGGCGTTCTCGGTGGCTGTCCCACAGTTTTGGATGCCCCTTCCCCTGGAGGTTCACCGAAACCCAAGCCTGAGCATTGTCCAGAAGCAATGTAAGACTTTTTTTAAAAAATATTTTTATTAAGGTTTTCGGAGAATAGTAAAATTACATATATTTCAAATAGAACAACAGAAGAACAAAAAGGGAAATCTTTAATAAAAGATATAAGAAAGAGAGAAAGAAAGGGAAAACAAACAGATTATATAAAGATGTAACTAATATAGAATCCTAAGAAAATGACTTCCGATTTTCTTTTCTGTGCTATAACTACAAATAATACTCATCATACTGTCTAAATTATACTCTTCCTGTGGAAAGCAAGCATTTTAATTCTCAAATCTCACAACTCCCAAATCATTTTCTTTTTTCTGCAAAAAAATCAATCAATGATTTCCAATCTATTAAAAATGTTTCTAATGATTTTTCCCTAATCAATGCTGACAGTTTATCCATCTCTGCAAGTTCATTCAGTTGTAATAACCAGTCTTTCTTTATAGGTAGTATTGAATTTTTCCATCTCTGCAAATATACTAATCTTGCTGTGGTGTTCATATATTGCAATACTCTGCCATAGTTCTTGTCTGGCTGGTCATCCATCAGTTGTTGTTGTGTGCCTTCAAGTTTTTCTGACTTATGGTGACCCTAAAACAAACCTATCACAGGGTTTTCTGGGGCAAAAAGAAAAAGTTTTGATTTTAATTGAATATTAACTGTTAAAATCACTTGGACCATGGTATGTTTCTATACTAAGAACTTTTTGGCCTTATCACAAGTCCACCACATATTAT